CCCCCCCCCCCCATCCCATTCACAAATATCTTCCCTTATCTCTACACCTTGAAAGAACCAATGCTAAATACCATATGTTATCCTACGGGTATAGAGTCGACCCCCCTCTCCTCGGCCACACAATCAACACCAACCTAAGCGGCGCATTCTGGGCAACGCAAGCAGCAGCACGACAAATGGCACTGGCTCAGTCGCCACCGGGGGGTTCCATTATCGGGATTAGTTCTATCTCTGCGCTTGTTGGGGGTGGGCAGCAGACGCATTATACGCCCACGAAGGCGGGCGTGCTTAGTCTTATGCAGTCGTGTGCGGTTGCGTTGGGCAAGTACGGTATTAGATGTAATGCGCTGTTGCCGGGGACGATCCGGACTCAGTTGAATGATGAGGATATGAGTGATCCGGTGAAGAGGTCGTATATGGAGGGGAGGATCCCGTTGGGGAGGTTGGGTCAGCCGCCGGATTTGGCGGGGCCGGCGGTGTTTTTGGCGAGTGGGGAGTTGAGTGGTTATGTGGTGAGTATTATTCCCCTTTGTTCTATGTTTGGGAAGAGTGTGCTAATGTGGTTGGATAGACTGGAGCGCAGATACTGGTGGATGGGGGGGCTTTTGTGAATCTTCAGTAGATAACGATATGATTTGATGATGTTACTATCTTTATTGTGGATATACTTGCTCATGGGGATCGGTGTACATACATACATGCATGCATATATGCTTCAATATATGATTTGAATACGTATTAACTTAGAGTTCAATCCCATATGCCTTGAGGGCAACACCTCCCCATACACCCTCCTTCTGCTCCTGTGACAAGCCCCTCTTCTCCAAAATACCCTCCACCACACTCCTCCACCTTCTCCAGGCGACTGCACTGCCGCCTCCACCCACATTACACACAGGCCAGTCAGACCCAAACATGACTCTCTCCGGCCCGAACGCATCAAAGACCACATCCGTCCACAGCTGGACCTGGTCGACTAGGGAAGCAATATCCGGCTCCGAATCCGCCGTCAGCGGAGGAAGCTCCGAGAATCCCCCGGAAAGCTTCATATACGCCGTCGGATGCTGTGCCATGGCTGTGATGAGGGAGCTCCATTCCAGGAAATCAGGATGCGTAGCGATCGAGTCGGGCGAGGTGTACGGCAGACGCAGGTTGGGCTTGCACAGGTGGTCTGTAGATAGCTTGTTAGCCCAAACCTCCCCAAAGAGAGAGGAGCAGAAACTGATGGGGAACTAAGGAACAAACATACTAATAACAATCCTAACCCTATCCTTCTTCTCCCCCACCTCCCGATAAACCGTATTCATCATCTCCGCCGCCTCCCTCAACTGCCACATCCCACCCTGACGCGCATCCACCCCCAGATCAAACGCCAACTGCTGCCTTCCTAGCCACCTCAACCCCTCAATGAACTCGGGCTTTAGCATGACTCCGCTCGGCTTATCCTGAACGAGATACCGCACTCCGCAGACCTTCTTGAATACTTCCTCCGTGCGAGTCCGCTCCCTCACGAGGGAAATGTACTTCTCTAGCGCAGCAGGACCCCCGGGCACAGGTGCCCAGGGCACCATACCTAGACAGAGCTGGCGGTCTACATCTTTGTGGCCTTCCCCTGGGATAGGCTCTCCGGTGATGATCCGGGTGAGGAAGGAGACTTCGTCGAGGGCGTGGTACCAGCCACGGGTTGGGTCTGATTCTTCAATTGAGGAGATGCGGTCGGTTTCGAGGAAGATGAAGCCGCGGAGGTAGTGTGAGTTTGTTTTTGTTGGTGTTGTTGTTGTTGTTGTTTCTTCCGGGGATGTGGGAGTCGACGTGGTTGCGAGGCGGTATTCGTCGATGGAGTGCTGGGATCCTAATGGGCTGGAGGGGGTGTACCAGGCCAGCGTGGGGAGATGGGATGCTGGGAAGAGGTGGATGTGGGAGTCGATGATTGGGGTTGGCATTGTTGTGGATGTAGTACTTTTGTCTTCTCTGTCTTTGTGTTCGTGTTCGTGTTGATGTACTTGTGAGGGGTTGAGATGGTGATCTTCCCGGGAGTGCGGGGTTGAGTGCTGCTTGGGATAATTGAATAAAAAGAAATAAAATGAGGACTACAAGATTGAAGAAGAGTCTTGTTGATTAGGTTACAAATTGAGCAGAGCAGTTATTGAAAGAGGGGAACTAAAACAAGTGTGCAGCTCTGCTGGCCATCATGCAATTCCAGTCAGCAGACGAGGGGATGATGATCGGGGATGCATTAGCCCGAGCGCAGGCAGTCCAGACTCCATCGCGACCAACCAATCTGCCTTCTCCTCTCTAGTACTTCTGTCTCTCACTGGCCAGACCCTTGGCAAATGGTGAGGACCTTCGGCAGCTCCAGCAGCAGATTTATATACCGAAGGAACAGCTCTGAGTGTGTCCGACCTTCTGCTGGATAGTTTTTGTGTTCTGTTCAGCTCCACGACTAAACCACAAATTGGGGCGGACCGTCACTCCTCGCCAATCACACTCCGCAACAAATACGATCTGACTTCAAATGCGGGGTTCTTTCAACTGATGCCTAGGTACTAGATCAGTGGCGGGGGTGATATCCGGGATTCCGTTGAATTGGCTTCTCGTTTTTCTGGCACTTGGCCGATCATGTTCTCTGGATGCAAAAGGAAAAGAGGGGTTCGGTGGATGACGATGTGACTCGCCTTCAGCTTGTGCCTCGGTTACGGCTACTTGCGACTTTCATTGCTTCTTTTGAATCAACTATCGACACCATAATGTGAAGTGCATTTCTTGGCCCGTCTCAGCGATGATCCATCAGGATGATCCCAGTTCATTTAGCGCGTCGACTGGGTTCCCCAGTGATAAAGAGATGCTGCGCCTTTGATCTGCAGCTTCTGAGTCTCGCTCCTCGCACCCTTCATCGTCCCCCCTTCCTCTGCGTACAACACCGAAGATACCAGTATACTACGAAGATGATTATGTCTGCGGGTGATACCAATGGCAATGGCAGTACAGCTGTGCCGGAGATCCCTGCAAAGCAGAGGGCTGCCATCTATGACCAGCCCGGCACTGTCTCCACCAAAGTCGTAGAGATAGATGTGCCCGAGCCTGGTGTGGGTGAGGTCTTGATCAATCTGTATGTGTTACCTTTAGCCCCAATTGGCTGGACGGACACAGCTTATCCAGTCGAGTGCATCCATCGGACTAATGGCTATTGTAGAACCCATTCAGGCGTCTGCCATTCTGACCTTGGAGTAATGACCAACACCGTAAGTATACAGACGTACCTCTAGCTCAATCACCTCCTAACTCGTCCAGTGGAGTTCTCTACCCTATCCCACACAGCCAGGTCAAGTTGGTGGCCACGAAGGTGTCGGTAAGATCGTCAAGCTAGGCCCTGGAGCCGAGTCTTCGGGCCTGAAGGTCGGCGATAGGGTAGGCATCAAATGGGTTTCCAGCGTCTGCAAGAGCTGCGGTGCGTATACAGTTCTCTTGGCCAGATAGTCCATACTGACAGTTAACGATCAGAACCATGCCATGCAGGCGCCGACGGCATCTGCTTCAACCAAAAGGTATCCGGATACTACACCCCCGGCACATTCCAGCAATACGCCCTAGGCCCCGCCAACTACGTGACACCGATCCCGGACGGCCTCGCATCCGACGAAGCCGCGCCGATGCTCTGCGCCGGCGTGACCGTCTACGCAGCCCTGAAGCGCAGCAACGCCCGACCAGGCCAATGGGTGGTGATCTCCGGCGCCGGCGGCGGCCTCGGCCATATAGCCGTGCAACTAGCCAGCAAAGGCATGGGACTGCGCGTGATCGGAATCGACCACGGCAGCAAAGAAGAACTCGTGAAGGCCTCCGGAGCTGAACACTTCGTCGACATCACCAAGTTCCCCTCCGACGACAAGGGCCAAGCCATCGCCGCGCACGTCAAATCCCTCGCTGGGGGTCTAGGCGCTCACGCCGTGATCGTCTGCACCGCAGCCAACGCAGCCTATGCCCAGGCCGTACCATTCCTGCGCTTCAACGGCACCCTCGTGTGCGTGGGAATCCCCGAGAACGACCCGCAACCGATCGCGACCGCGTTTCCTGGCCAGATGATCAAGCAGCATTATACGATTACCGGATCGGCGGTGGGGACGCAGCGAGATGCGATCGAGACGTTGGATTTCGCGGCGCGAGGGATCATCAAGGCCCATTTCCGGACGGAGAAGATGGATGCTTTGACGGGCGTGTTCGAGGAGATGAGTCAGGGGAAGTTGCAGGGTAGGGTTGTTCTCGATTTGTCTTGACGTGATGTCTGTGGTTGCTTTGTGTTGGTCTATTTTAGGAGTAAGCTGGTCAGTCAATGAATGGAAGTTCAATCAAATATATTTTCAACGAAACATGATGATGAACGATGATGCACATAAAGAAGACGATGAAAGACCACTGCAGTGATTTAAAAACACAAATATTGCAAAAACCGAGAACAAAGAAGCCATCATTCCGGCAGCGTTGCAATTCCACTCCGTTCAACCTTGCAAAAGAATAGACAACTGAACACGAAACAGTACCCAAAAGAGAACAAGAACAAACACAAAGAAAGTGAGAGAGAGGTAAAAGAAGAAGAGAATAAAAAAGAATGACCGACGCAGGACTCGAACCTGCAATCTCTTGATCCGTAGTCAAGCGCCTTACCATTGGGCCAGCCGGCCAATTGATGAAATAACCCGGGGATCTTTGCCTACATAATCCAGTTTTAAAGTTACACGATCACACACATAGTGGTGGTGGTGGCGGGTCGAGCGAATTTCCTAGTGATTCCTTTGCTTAAAGCCGCTTATTTCCGGGAGAAGTTCTGCCGGTCTGTTTGTCTGTCTGTTGGGCGGTGTGGTGGTATTTTGGTGGGAGTTAAGTACATTTTAGGTGGCATTGGGAATATTCTTAATATTTTCTTTGTGCACTAATTGCGGGGAATTGGGTTGGTTACTCGTCTTGCTTGTGATAAATAATGGAGGGGTTGGGTTGGGGGTGTTATGGAGGATCTGCAGGGTAGTATTTATTGAAGTTTATCTTGTCTAGTAGTCAACTAGTCTTGTTGTAGGGATTAGTGCTGGATGGAGATGGTGGCATCTGTGTACTGCGAAGGGGCTAAAATATCCGGAATGAAGGAAGAGAATTGATTAGTGGAGAAGGACGGAAAAGGATTCAGTATAGCTAGAAATGTATGAGCTCATTCGTAGGAGTTACAGTGACTCTTACGAGGAAGGGATCAATTACTCGAACAGTCCCTCAATGCTGCATTTCGATGGTAGATAACTTCATAACTACGTACTGCTGCGCAATTGCTGTCCAACGACTCTTCCTGCTCAGTCCCGAGTCCACGGGCCTGCGTACCGAGCAGCTGGGAAGGAGGGTCTCAGTCAGACATGGGTATGTAGTAGGACATGTGAAACTTTCTCCGGGAGGAGCTTATTGGTCTAGCTACCAGACGTATAATATCGAGCGAGGTCGATAGACGTCATAAGCAGATTCTGAAAGGGTCGCTTTGCGTCGGGGAATCCGACCCAGCGATTCAATGATACCAGAGAAAGTGTATATTTGGAATGGGTAGTTGGGTGCGAGGCTGTTGTCCCTTGCTTAATGGCCGGTTTGGGGTTGATAACCTTGGTCCTGGGGCGGCCGTTCGGAATTTGAACCGTTCCCTCGGGACCTGAAGCACGCAGTGGGTGGTATTAAGGTTGGCTGATCATGCCAGGACACATTCCTCTGGTACGAATGCAACCATGGGACTGTCTGGGAGCTGCTTTGGTGCTTGTGTCACATCCCGCTAACAAAGTTGGACAGGTACCGTGGTAGCCCGTGGCGGTGCTGTTCCCTTGCACAAGGGACAAAGCAGAAGCTAAGAGGCAAAAGGAAATGCTATCACGTCATGGGCAGAGTGCTGGTGCCAGACCAGCTGGATAGTAGGGCCACAGGAGAATTGGTGTAGCTTATCTATCAGGTGATTCGAAATTGAAACAGTCTCGCGCCTCCGTAATGCAAACAGTGGTGTATAATGCGTATCAATAACAAAGCCGCCCCAACCAACCATGCAATAACAATAACCAAATCAACTGGCCTCTCCAAAGTAGAAGAATGAAACCCTGAGATTTCTCACCGTGTGCGCTTGCTGTAGCCCCGACTTGTAGACGAAGACGGTCGCTTTTGACCAGCATTGGCAAGAGGTGATTCCGCAGCACGTATCAACGCATCGAGTCTCAGTATATAGGCCTTGGGAGCTCGGTCCACTTCAATCCGGTGTAGAATTGTTTTCAACCTGCCCACGAATTGGTGGAGCGCCATAGCCGGTACATGCTCTAGGGCATCAAGAATAAAGAATTCACCAGTTTCGTCGGCCTTGCCAATAAGCTGGTGGAAGAGATTGCGTTGATCCTCGTCCTCTCCGTGGAATGTCACTCGGCCACGTTCGTTCCCCTCCAGCGCATCCTTATTACGGCCGCAGATGCCCTCCAGCAATGTGACCAAAGTCTTCGCAGCCCCTTCCATACCGTGCGGTGCTCGAGCGATGATGTTTTCCCGGACGCGGTCAACGTTGTCTTGAATTTTTAGAATGACAGTCTCCACGTCCAAATCTCCAGCCTCATTTGAAGCTTGTCCTGTAAGGCAGTAGCGGTCGAAGTCTGCTAGTAGCTTCCGCAATCTCTGATGCACTTTGTCAAAGAAGATCACCGCGCAGGCCGCAATCGGCATCGCTTTGCATAGACTGGAATAGACTCCGTCGTCGTGCACGGCAAGCCGAAACATTGTGGCTTCAAAGTCTCCCTGTACAACACACTGCTCAGGGGTACGCGACTGTCCTGCATCATCAACAAGATCGAGACGGAACTCCTCAGGCAGAATCACCGGACTAAAGGCCGACAAAATGTCCCGGACCATGTCCTGTCGGCTCATTCCCCCCTCGGCTTCGGAGCGAACATATTGCCAACACAGCTGATCCGCAATGGTCTCCAGCTTGCCATCCAGCAGTTGTTCAACGCGACCAAAGTTCGGAAGACGTCCATCGCTCGACAGAAGAATGTCGGAGGGAGGAGGTTGAGGGACGAAGCAGCCATGAAGCTGATCAAGGAGCCACTTTTACTTCGTGTTAGGATACCGGAAGAGAAAGGAAAATTTTACTCAAGGTGGGGGCATGAGGTTGCTCACGAAAATGTGCTGGCAGGCCACATTGGGCATGCCTGAGAAGGTCGAGCAGGTGCACGTATACCCCTCTGAACCGAGATGAACTCGGGGCTGCTCAATGAATTGGAAATCAAACCCTGTTCGTGTCGTACAGCAGCTGACTACCTTGAACTGACTCGTTAACCCAACGAGAGCCCTGGCTTCGGTGTCGGAGTCAAGCCTGGCGAGATCATAGGTAATCCCTGACTTGCCACGTACGGACGAAGACGCAGCTGAATCTCCCTCAGCATGACTCTCGTCACTTTCGCTTCTCAGGAGCTCGCTGCTGTCGCTTTCATCTGTGTGTGGCGCTTTCTCGGGCTGGGAGCGTGTCGTCGGCATGTCGCCTGTTATTGAGAGGTCGTGAAATTCTTTGGTGGGAGCAGACATTGAGAGTTATATGGCAATGGATTTACTGTGGCTTGTGTGTCCCTGGCTTGCATTTGTATTTGCTGGCCTCCAACGGCGAGACCGGTCAGTTATATAGAGTTTGTTCCGAACCAAGGAAGGAAGCGGGTACATTGTACCAGCAACTGCTCCAAGCTTGCCGCAATCGCCTCTGTCACAGCGACCAAAGAGACAATAGAAGCTTCCATATGAACTACTGTTGGTATTTTGACTAACCACTGAGCCTTGGGACCCGCCGTCAGTGGCCCCGACTTTGCCGCATAATGAGTAAATGAGCCATCGTTTGGATATATTCAAGCATACACGTTCCACAATGATCTGGAATTTCCACATCTGCGGTTAGTGTGTCCGGTTAACGCCCACCCACTTGGCACAGGAGACATCGGGATTCTGCGCCACAGATGTAGAGCTACTACAAGCTGCGTGGGATGCTGGGAGAGAGATTTCGTGTAGCTATAGGATCAGAAGTAGCGGCAGGAGAACCATGAAATCACAGGATCCTCCCGGCTGAACCATATTAAGAGCCAAACGGCGATCATGCGCACTTGTGTGTACGAATCATAATGTGCAGCCGAGTTGGCACATCCAACCAGCCTGTAAACATAGTTAAATGTGTCGAAGGAATACTGCACAGGCCCTTGACAATCTGCACCGTTGCAGCAGGTACTTGATCAGTTGGCACAGGCTCCAATGTCAGGCGGCAACCGCTAGGAAAAAGGGGACGCGGTCGAAGCACTGGCTTCGGATTGTATTGCCGCAAGCTGCGCAACTCCTCTTCACATCATGACAGCATATTGCTGTATCCAACGCAGGGATTCCTATGGTGGAAAATTATACTATCGATTATTCTTCCCTGTGATACGTATGCATCTTGTGGCACTGCATTTCTACGCCATCAAATGGCCGAAAGATAGGGATCTCCCTTCCTCAGCCTCGTAATCGAGTCAAAGGGAGAACTTCTGGGCCGCGGGTTCCAATTTGTTCGTATCCGCCTTAGGCCGCAAGTAAGGGTACCGGATTTCGTGATGCGCCGCAATCTCTCTCGTCCCACATCTGCGGCATTAAGCAGCCTGATTAGACGTCCTCTCCATGTGGCACAAGCGGCGCTGCCTCAGAAACTGGGTCTTCAGATACTATAGATTTCCATGGTGGGTGAACTCGACCCACGATTCGCTTGTAGAGAGTTTGCGGGAAGGAATTAATAGGCGCCCCTCTCTCGACCACACACTCGGAACGCCTATCTCTCCTTCCCTCTGCGACCACCGGAGACACCGAGCTGGACTAGATTGCGACATTCAGTGCAGCGCAAGCCTGTACCACTGGATGAAGAGAGTAGCCACCCTAAGGCTGTGTGCGGTGCTTCCGCCTATCCCCTTACCGTGGCTACCTTCCATGCCAACGCAAGACTGGCAAGCATTCGTAAATTCCGGTGTGTACCAATGCTTGAGTTCTCTCCTGATAACGTAACAATGGGGTCTCTGACTCTGGAGCTCCGGTATTACCCATAGTGCTCGCCTTGGGCTCCGTAAACTGGGTCCCAGTTTGATGAGATTGAAACTTCTGCTCTCGCCGGACTAATCAGCTCCCAAGGATTCACGAAGAATTACTCATTGCTCACCATATTATTGTATGCTTATCTCTGAGTGGAGTAGAACCCTGATGGCGCCAAAGAGGAAACAGAGGATCACAGCCAAAGGTGCTCGGCCACTCCTCAGTTAGCGCTGAATAACGTGGGACTGCTGTTTCGAAATCGTCATATAAACGAATGGCGCCA